CTGGGATTACAGCCACCATGCCTGTTTTCTGTTATATAGTTTGGCCAGTGAGAGCTTCTTCAAGCTGATTCCTATAGCTTTTGCCATGTCCCCATAAATTTTGAGCAGATCCATATCTTCCAGAAGATCTTCCAGCCTCACTTTGTAGTTTTCTAACCCCAGTAGTGGAGTCAGTCATTTTCCAAGAAGCCCTGCCTCCTTTTAGTGGAAATGATATCCAGAAACCAAGGTCTTGGCATTAGTGCGCTCTTCACTGAGTATGGAGTATATGTCTAGGCCTTAGTAGGCCCAGTGTACACATACACCTCTATGTGTACATTGTGTGCATACAGATTTGGGGTGAGTTGAGTGGTCAGTAAAAACAAACAGTAAAAATCTCAAGTTTACGTTGATATTTCCAATGCCAATCTGAATCCACAGGACTAATTTTAGCATTCTTCATAATAACCTCCTTTCTTTAGTGAGAACCTGGCCTCTCATAATCCTCCTCTAGTCACACATTTGTTCGTGCCTCTGTGAGTAACCAGGCTGCCATCCACACAGGCTGTGTCCCCCTACCCCACCTCTGCACACATAGTTGTCACTCAGATAGGGTCTCCCTCTCCCCTTTCAGCCTGAGGATGAGCAAGGCCTTCCCCTAACCCTCTGGTTCTTGATTTTTTTTTCTGGTACCAGGAATTGAACTCAAGGGTCTTGATTTTTAATAGCACTTTTTTTCCCTGATAATAAGAATAGGACAAGCAGATAATAAACATGAAAAGATGCTCAGTCTCATTAGTAATTAAATAAGTGAAAATTGAAGTCCACAAGAGAAATGCCCATCAACTGATGACTGGATAAAGAAGATATGGCTTTTTAATACACTGGCGTACTCTTCAGCTATAAAGAATGGGAAACTAGAGATATTTATAGCTAAATGGATGCACATTGAGACCAAACTCAAGTGAAACAAATAGGACACACATGGGCAAATACTGAATAGTTTCTGTGGTATAAGAAACTGCAAAACTAAATGAGGACCAAAATGTATAATATATTATGTAAGATAGGAAGAAAAGGTCCAAAAGGGAAGAGGAAGGGGGGGGATGAAAGGAAAAAGGGGAAGGAAAAATATGAGAAAAGAAGGAAAAAATGGAAACCAAGTTTTTGTAAATAGGGTGGGATGGATGGGTGGAAAGGAAGGAAGGGGAATAGGGAAAAAACAAGAACCAAGGTTCATCATGTACTGATACAAATTCTCAGTGATGAATGTGATCATGATGTTTACCTAAAATGTACCAATAAAGAAATATAGATGACAAAAAAGTCCACAAGAGAGCTTGGAAAAGCAAAAAGTAAAAAAGGATAATCTCAAGCACGCCTGTAATCCCAGATACATGGGAGGCCAAGGCAGGAGAAGTACAAGGGTCTTCTAGGCAATTCAGCAGTCCCTGCTCAAAAAATAAAAAGGTCTGGGGGTGTAGCTCACTGGTAGAGTTCCTAGTATATATAAAGGGAGTGGGTAATTCCGCACTTTCATCTTTACCAGTAGGCAGCTGTGGCTAAGAAATCATGGCTCTGGGAGTACTTGAAAAAACAAAAAAGAAATCATGGCTTAAAGTCACAAAACTAGTAACTAATAGACTGGAGCTTGGTCTCTGACTACTGCCTCAAGGGTAAGGACCATCTTCATCTATATATTACATACTTTCCTATGTTTTCCTAGTAACCTGTTGTGTAGTTGACCTTCGTAATTCACTTAATGTGAAGACACTAGATCTGGAGGCCTTAAACAAACCTGCTTACAGTCACAATTGGCAGGTGAGTTTAGAAGCACCAAGGTTTGGACCCTTGTTAGCCATTTAACTCACCAAAAACCTGTATTTTATTTCTTATCTTTTCAGTTGATTTCTCTGTCATTTGGCTCAATTCCAAAAATGTGTTTCACCTGCTCCAAACCTAAAGAAGGCTTTTTGCCTCAAATAATATGGAAGAACTCTTATGGAGCAAGCTCTCCTTTGTCATTGTGTGGTTTCAGGGAATGCAAAAGAGGTTTTTAAATATCTCAGGCACTAGTATCTGAAATGCCATCAAGGACCAAGCCTGACGTACAGGTACAGATTTAAAATGCTGTTCCCTGTACCTGCTACTAGATGCTGTCTTAAGAACACTTCCCATTTGAGAAGAGGAATGAAAGGGAGAGGAAGAGAGAAGAAGGTGTGGGCTACACTGTGGCATTGGCACAGGGATAGGCCTAAGGAGGAACAGTCCAGACACACCCATGCCTGTATGGAAACTTACAGTATAGTGTGGCAGATTATTGATTGATGAGGAAACAAAGGACTGTTAAATAGTCTGGACAGTTGGATATCTGAGTGAAAAAGCCAGTTGCATTGATCCATACCTGTAGCCTCCTTTACTCCAGAGGTGGAGGCAGGAAGTTCTTACAAGTCCAGGGATTCAACACCAGAGTGGACAACATAGCAAGACCACATCTCTTCAGAAAAAGAATAAAGTTCCTTGAACCATACACAAAAAGATAGGTTCTGGGTAGCATAAAGATTTTGTTTCTTTTTTTTTTCTTTCATTTTTTTGTGACTAGGTCTCACTGTGTAGTTAAGACTGACCTGGAACTCACTATGTAGCCCAGGCTGGTCTTGAACTTACAGTGATCCTCCTGCCTCAGCCTCCTGAGTACTGGGACTGTAGTCAACATGCCCAGTGGAATAAAGATTTCAACTGTGAAATAAAAGAAGATTTTTATGACCTCACATAGGGAAATAACTAGACACTAAAAGCATAACCACAAACAAAACAATTAGTAAATTTGACTTTTGGGGGGGTACTGGGGATTGAACTCAGGACCTCACGCTTGCCAGGCAGGCACTGTGCCACTGAGCTACATCTCAGCCCTTGACTTCATTTTTTAAAAGTGAAAAGACAAGCTTCAAACTGCAGGTACTAGTATGTATTTCACATTATCAACAAAGAATTTGTTTTTAGAAAATGCAGAGGCACAAATCATTAATAAACCCAAATTCCCTGTGATTCCCTATGATGAATGTTGTGATCATTATGTATACCTAAATTGTACCAATAAAATTAAATTTTAAAAATAATAAAAACAAAAAAGGCCAATAGAAAATTGGGCAAAAATGCAGGCACTTCACCATCATGAGGGAAAAAATGGCCAACAAATATGAAATACAGCCAAGAAATGCAAATTGAAATCCAGAATGAGATGCTATTTTATGCCTACTATATTCACGAACATTTCAGAACTTCGGAGAGTCGGTGAGAAGGAAGTCGTCACTGCCGTCTCCACGTGTGATTGTAGCAGTGACATATGCTGTACTTGCCAGTATAAATTAGAACGGCCACATCGGGAAACTGTTTGGCACTACCTTGCCAAGTTGACACAACACCCAGATGTTCGTAAGCAGAGAATAATAGACCCTCTGTTAAGGTAGATCACACAGATACCTGTTTGTATAGGTGATATCATTTTATGTAAAATTCAAAATATGAAAACATAAATATGTTGTTAGAAATCCTTGTAATGATGTATTTAGAGAAAACTGGCAAATGTTTCACAGTAGATTTTATTTCCTTCCGGTAAGCCAGTTGTGAAACATTTACCAACACACCACTGAATGCATGAATAAGTTGTAAAACTATAAAGAAAAGTCAGGGAATGAAAAAAAAATAGGGACACAGGTGCAATATTCCTTCAACAAGGAATGTTCCAATACTGCTTATTTGTGCATATAAACTTTCACAGGAAGAAAAAATAAATAGCTGAATGGAGGCCAGGTTTGCGGTGGATGATGGGAGTGTTCTGATGTGAGAGAGAATGGTTAGTTTGGGCAGTGGAAGTGTTGTAGTCATCTGTGAGTAACAACAGGTGCATGGGTGGCGAGAGACAGGGTGGAGAGTGATGCAACAGATTGCAGGGGCCTGTGTGCCAGGGGGAGCAGTCTGGGCTTCACTCTGCACCGGGGCATGATCTTGGCAAGGTAGAGAGATAAGGCAGAAAGACAGCGAGGAAGTTCTAGTGGCCTTGCAGAAAGATGAAGAGCAGGGAGGGGTGGAGTCTGGGTGGCAGAAGGAACTGAGCTTGGTGACTGACTGCATGTGGGATGTGCTAGGAAAACTGGGTTCTATTGCTATCGGCGAGGTGGAGCCTTACTCTGCACCGTTAAGGGTGTGCCACGCAGTAACTTCCTCCCAAACCGTGCAATGCAAAAAGTAGGAAGAAAGTAACTTTACAGTGGAGAAACCTGACAAATCCTACCTCATCACCATTGAGAAGCTGTGTTGGTAGTGTGTACCTTTGATACACTGTAACGGAAATTGTACTTCACAGCCAGGTGTGGCGCAGGCCTGCAGTCTCAGTACTTTGGGAGGCTGAAGCGGGACGATCATGAGTTTTGAGCCCAATATGGCAAGTAAGTGACTTAGAGCTTGAGATGTATCTCAGTGCAAAGATCCTAGTTTCAATCCCCAGTACCAAATATATAGATAGATAGTTATTTATGACACATTACCTCACTAATATGTTAACAGAAGAAATGATATGGGGTATGAGATATGTGGGAATTGTGTCTACATCACTTTTCTGAAAATATAACATTTCTAAAATAAAAAATATAAAAAAAAATAAAATGTATTTGTTTTGAAAACTTTTAATTAAAAGTAATTTCTTTCTCCTTAAAAATAAAAATAAAATAGGATGGGCGTGGTGGAACTCAGGAGGCTGAGGCAGGAGGATCGCTATGATTTTGAGACCAGCCTGGGCTATGTAGTGAGTTCCAGGACAGTCTCAACTGCATAGTGAGACCCTGTCTCAAAAAACCAAAATAAAATAAAATAAGATAAAACAGCTCTGTGACTCTGGTTTCTGAGCTGAATGACCTTTATCAGGATCACAGAACTAGCTACAATTTTCCCAGTCCTTTTGTTCCCAGGCTAGAGTCCAGAAGACAGCTTGCTTAAGAAGGTAGGACTACAACTCCCAGAGTGCCCCTGTGCGGTTGTCAGGAGCAACCAAGGAATGCGGACTAACGGCCATGTTGAAGTTTGAGGATTAACAACTCACTGCCAGCCAGCCATGGGCCAGGATTATTACTCTGTGCTCCAGATCACTCGCAATTCAGAGGATGCTGAGATCAAGAGGGCGTAAGTTGGGGCCAGACCCAGGCTGGAAGGGTGTGCTAAGGCAGCCCCACCACTGCCGTCCCTTCCCACCCAGCTTTGCTGCACAGAGCTGGGCAGGCAGGCGAGCGAGCCTTGCTCCTCTTGCTCCTTGTGTACCCTTATCCTGACTTGCGGGCCGGGGGCATGCTGAAGATGCAGACACGGTGGGTCCTCAGTCTGCTTCCAGGCCCGATCCCCTTACACTCTATGCTCTGTCTCCTTTCCCAGGTGTCTTGATTTTTCCTAATAACAAAAGGGAGACAGAAGAGCCATTTGAACATTATTCTAAGTATTATGGAGAACCAAGGATAGTGAACAGGGAGATGACCTGGCCAGATGGATGTATTACAGATTTCATTCTGGCTATTGTAAGGATTTTTGTCACTGACTAAACTTTATCTCTGAATACTTTCATCAAGTCTTGGGAATTTTGCGGTCTATTCTTAAAGGCTAGAACAGGAGTCAGCACATTTTTCTAGAAAACAACTTTTTGTGTGATCTTTTTGGTTTGTTTTTGTTGAAAAAAACATTTATTATTTATTTATTTATTTATTTACAATACCTGGGATTGAACTCATGAAAAAACTTTTTTTTCCCATTAAGTTTATTGGTACATTTTAGGTATACAGTACAGTTACATTCATCATTGGGATCTTGCACCTTTACATGATGTATCTTGGTTTTTGTTTTTTCCCCATTCCCCTGTCCTCTCTTCACCCCCTCCACCCTTCCCTATTTACAATGTTTGTTTCCATTTTTCCTTTTCTCATATTTTTTCTTTTCCCTTCTTTCCTTTCCCCTACCTCTCCCACTTCCCCCACTTCCCCCTACTCCTTTAGACCTTTTCTTCCTATATGAAAAAAAACATTTTAAAGTAAATATTTATTGAACACTGACCATATAGGTTAGGTGCAGGGGTAGCAGCTGGAGATAAAACTGTGAATCAGATATGTCTCTTTCCCTCATGCAGCCTAATTTTGTTGGTGAATACAGATGTCGATTACGTCATCACAACCATTATAAAAGGGAAGGTACAAAATGCTAGAGAAGACTGTATTGGAAGGATAGAGACCTGTAGGAGGCAGAAGACCAGGCTTGAAGGAGAAGTAAGCCTCTTCAGGGGACTTAGAGAGAGGAGAGGGAATGAACTTGGCAATTAAGGGGATAATGGAAAGGTAAAGAAAAATGCAAGTATCTAAGATAATTACAGTTGGGAAATACAGTAGCTACATGGGTTGTGTCTCTGCTGTTCTCAGAACCTTCCGTCATGATTTCATTTGATCCTCAAAGACCCTGAGAGGTAGATACCATTAATATCTCAAGGCTGGTAGGAGATCTAAGTGGGATGAGAGGAGAGAGTCCACAGCATGATTTGAGAAATAACGCACAAACTCAGAGGGCAGTGTAGGATGTCACCCATTGTTCAGGGCCTCTCACTGGACAGTGAGAGCCATCAAGGGAAAGGTTGTGGAAAGAGAGCAGTTGGAGGACAGAAAGATAAGCACAGACTTGTCATTGGAATGTCTGAGTCCAGATTCTCCTACCTGCTAGTTGTGTGACATAGCCGAGTGACTTAAACTCTCTGAATGTCAATTTGTCATCTCTGAAACACAGGAGGAGGTTGGGTTGCGGATTTAGCTCAGTGGCACTGCCCTTGTCTCGTAAGCAAGGTCCTGAGTTTGATCCCCCATACCACACACACACACACACACACAACAGAAGGGGGTGATTGTGGTTGTGGCTTTGAAAAGGAATAGATGAGATAATATACGTAAAAATTCCCAACAATCATTTGTACATGAAATCATGTCATATAAAGAACTGATTAAAAGAACTGCAATGCTGGGCACAGAGATCCACACCAGTAATCCCAGGTAGTCGGGAGGCTGAAGCCAGAGGCTCCCAAGTTTGAGCCCAGCTTCAGCAACTTCACAAGACGCTGCCCCAAAATAAAACTTCAAAGAGCTAGGGATGTGATTTAGCCCAGTGGTAGAGCACTCTGGGTTTAATCCTGTCTCATAAACAAACAAGAAAAGCAACCATGCATATTTTTCAAATATAGCCCTTGCCTCTTCGCCCCTCCAGCATCTTTTAAGGCATGAGTTTCATGTATGATGAGTGTCTCCCATAGAGTATGCCTTGATTTTGACCAAAAAACAGAACAAAACATCAACAAATATATATATATGTATGTATATATAAAATGAAGTCCCATGATGATTCATAACCACCTGAGCTAACATCACTCATTCACTCTTTTTTTTTATGCTTTCCTCTACATAGATTTATTGAACATAAAATTCTATATGGTGGCGCATGGCTGTAATTCCAGCACTTGGGAGGCTGAGGCAGGAGGACCACTGTGAGTTTGAGCCCTGCCTGGGCTACACAGTGAGTTCCAGGTCAATCTCAACTGCATAGTGAGACCCTGCCTCAAAGAAAAACAAAACAAAACAAACTAACCTGGACCTGCTGCCTCAAAACATGATCCTTTTCTACTAATATCATGATAGGTTGGTCATAAAGCAACTTACTCCAGGGGCCGGTGATTTATCTTGCAAGTGGGAGGCCCTGAGTTCGATCCCTGGTACCAAAAAGAAGGCAATTTACTCCAAAATAAATGGAAAAATGTCCAGTGCATATCAGATGAATGGCCTAATCACTGGAACTGTAGCAGTTTTACAAGATAATTAACAAGTAGGACCAAGTCCCAATGAAAGGGTACTGAAGAACTGACAGAAAAAAAAAAAAAAAGTAACAGGAGATATCAAGAGGGCATTTTGTGAGCTGCCACCATGATGCTGTCGTGTTTCTGGACCATGATGCTCCCATCATCTGATTCTAGACACCACAGGAGCATCCGTGGGATCAGAGATCCGTGGGATCAGAGATCTGTGGGATGAGCCACAACAGATATCACCCCACCATGCTCATCTGAGAGATCCCCACGGCAACCCCTGTGTGAATCAGGACTCCAACAATGGATGGATTGATTCTTCCTTGTATCCTCCAAGTGCTGCTGTAAAGTTGCTTCCATCCTACTGGTAGCTGTCCACCCTAACCCAGGACCCAGCAGCCAGTCCACCCATTCGCTCCTGAGCCGTGACTCTACCCCTCTCTGCCACACAGGAGAACAGGTGAAAGAGAGTGAGGTTGTAGCAGAGGGAGAAGTAGGGGCTTGACTTAAACTGAAGACAACAAGTGAATCGGTACAGGGTTTCAGCAGGAGCATGACTTGGTCAGAGAGTATTTTAGAAGCATCCAATGAAATAGAGACCTCAAACCCAGTGGTCATGCACAAAATGGACCGGAGTTAATCTTGAAATCACTCAATTTCTTTTTGGAGGGGGGATACAGGGTCTCACTATGTAGTTCAGGCTGGCCTCGAACTCAGAGCAATCCTCCTGCCTCAGCCCCCAAAGTGCTGGGAGTATAGGCGTGCGCCACCAAGCCCAGCTTATATTTTATTTTGAGTCAGGATCTAAATTGCTGTGGCTGACCTCAGATTTAGGATTCAACTGTCTCAGCCTCCTGAGTGGCTGGGATTAAAGGTGTGCATCATAGTGCCCAGCTTCCAACTTTGTCATTGTACTTACGGATCGAATTTACTGGTGAGTCTCCTCATAACTATGACATTTGGAATTGAAAACTACTTCCTTAGAAGTCCCAGGAAGGCTGTGACAATTGTATTCAAGCCTCGGAAAGTAGACTGCAAAGATTCTCTCTGTAAGGCTCCCAAGGGCAGAGCCAGGACCTTTATGAATTAATGGAAAGGACAAGGACAGCAGACCCAGCTCAGTGGGAGGAAGCATTGTTAGAACCCAGACACAGTGAGGAGGGCTGCCCGGCGGGACTGCGGGCTCACATCATTTATTTACTCACTGCTGCTTGGTGCTAGACACTGGGGACCCAGAGAAATGGATGCAGCCACCCAAGGACTTTGGAGGGCTGAGTTCTGGGATCAAAGGCCTTGGCAACTCGGTTAGGAGTGTCTGCCCCAGGATGGAGGCTGGCAGTCAGGGGAACTGGGTAAGTTGGTCCCTAAGCCCAAAGGTGAAGGCTGAATGAAACGTTGCCGGGAGGCTCTGGGAGGGGCTACAGAAGGGTGACTGTCACAGGAAAAGGGAGGAGAATGTGCAGGAAAAGGGGGAATCGCACAAGCGTGAAGGGCTTCAGCAGGAGAGTGACTTGGTCGGAGTATGTTAGAAAGCAGAGATAGGCACAGAGACAGGGAGTTCCAACCTGGTGACAGCGCACAAAGTGGACTGGTTGGAGAGGGCGCTGCTAGATACAGGGAGATATGGTTCTGCAACAGTTGTAGGGATGAAGAGGCAGGAAGGGGGCATTTAGAAGGAAAACCCAACGTGACTTGATAATTGCTGGGATGGAGGGAGGAGGAAAAAGGAGAATTTGAGTTAAAGATAATGCTCAGCTTTCTGGCTGTGATGCCCGGGTGCAGGAGGATGAGACCATGAAAATGTGCTGATCTAGGCTCATTGAGTTTGTGGCCCCTATGGGATTTAAAAAATTTGTTGGGGCGGCACTGAGGGTCGAACTTGGGACCTTGTACTTGTGAGGCAGGCGACAGAACCACTGAGCTCAATCCCCAGCACCTCTTTGGGATGTTGGAGAGGAGCTAGCAAGCAGGTTAAGAAGTCGGGCTCAGAGAAGTGGTCTGGTTTGAGATAAGTCCACAGTATAACTTCATCCCCAAACTGTGAGTGAAGAGAAGCGATGGAGCCCGGTCATTGCGAGGTCAGACTGGAATGGGTGACCTGGGAGTCTGGTCTGGACACCTTTCTGTGCCCTTCCAGTTACCCTCCCTACCCTGCCAGCCAGCACAGTGACGCCACACACAAAGGCACCAACAGGCTTCCTGACTTCCTCCTGCTAAATCAGGCAGGGCAGGGGAATGGGAGATAGAAAAGTGAGGTTTCGGTCTTAATTCCCAAGCTCCCTTCCTATGGGATCTCTTCAAGCTGCCTGTGTCCCCTGACTGAATATCACAGCTCCTGCCAAAGGCCCTGTCCACTATTCCTTCTGGGTTCCAGTAACAGCCCCTTGCTCACTCCTACAGCCATAGGGGTTCCCAGGGTGTAGGGAGAGATTCAGACTGCAGGACAGGCCTGATACCTGTGAAAGATGGAGGGAGGAAGGCCTGAGTGGAGAGAGCTGCAGTGTGGCCCCAGATAGTCTCAGCCAGGCTGGTGGGGTGTCCCCAAACCAAGGCTGCCTGTTGAAAGGAGCCCCACGTGTCACAGGAATGGGCCATCACTGATCCTCTGCCACATTTAGGGGTTGGCGAGGGCGGCTCGGCTTGGGAGAATAGCTAGGAGATCACTAAGGTTTCTCCAGCCCTATTTCAGGACTTCCCAGTCCTCAGAACAAATGCCTAAGGGCAGCTGCAGAGGGCTGTCAGCTCCCTGGGCTCCGCACACCAGGTTCTCTTCAGGGAGATCTGAGTGATGCACCTGGGCTACCACCAAGCCTATACGGTCACCCCTGACTATAGCAAGGCAGTAGATGACAGACAGCATCAGCTCTGAACCGTGGCCTGCTCCTCGGCAGCAGGTCCACTGCTGTGACTCCTATTAGCCTTCCCTCGTGCAGGTACCGGAAACTTGCCCTGAAGAACCACCCACTGAAGTCGGACGAGCCATTTGCAGCAGAGACATTCAGGCAAATAGCAGAGGCCTACGATGTGCTGAGCGATCGTGAGTGACTGTGGGGCTGGGCACACAGACTCACTCCAGGAGATTTCTGTCACCTACTCCTCCATTAACATCTTTCTTTAAGTCTCAAGAATGGTCGGTTTTCCGAGGGATCCAATAGAGAGTAACCCTCCATTCTCCATGTCCAGTATCTAAAGACAGAACCTAGAGCAAAGAATTGCCCTCCCTCCCTCCCTTCTTTCCTTTCTCCCTCCCTCTCTTTCTGGTACTGGAGATTTAACCTAGGGCTCACACAAGCTAGGCAAGTGCTCTACCACTGAGCTACATCCCCAGCCTTTTTTTTAAGTTTACTTTGTGACAGTCTCACTAAATTGCCCAGACTGGCCTTGAACCTGTGATACTTCTGTCTCAGCCTCCCAGTGGCTGTGATCACAGGCATTTGCTGCCATGTCCCACTAACAAGTATCTTTCTCAGCAGCCAGTGTGCAGGACCCAGGATTAGGCTGATGGCTCACCAGTCAGGGCAGTGTAGGCACAGGGCACTTTTCCCACACCCTAAGAGGACAGAGCCTTCCCCAAGAAGCAGAGCGAGATGCTGGCTGCCAAGGGCAGATGACTGAGACTGAGCAGGTGTGCACATTTATCCTTCCCAGACTGAGTAGCTAAGTCTTCATGTCCGTAAGAAAAGCAAGGACATGAAAGGGCAGAGAGAGAGGCCAGGCATCACTGAGAAATGTCTCTCCTTTGGAAGCCAGAGCATGGAGCAAGTGTGAGTCACCATGCAGCGTAGGCAGCTCCCTGGTGGCTCCCCTGAGGGCTTGTCCTGGAGACCGTTATCATGGATACTATGCAGAATGGCTTGGAGATCACCAAAGTTTCCCTGGCCTTGGATTTTCAGGTCTGCAGAGTCCTTAAAGCAGGATTTCAAAGCTCCAGTGTTTAGAATTCTTAGATTCTAACATTTCACGACTCCAGGATTCTGATTACTGTGATGAGTGAGCTAAGCCAGCTCTCAAATCTGCAGCTTCACCCTTAGTCTCCGTTCCTCCTCTAATCCCCACCCCACCCCAGCACAGTACCATTTCTGCTCTCTCCTCTGGGCTCCCGCAGTCATGAAAGCACACCCCTTCTAGGATCTCATTTCAGAGGCTGCCAGGCAGCGGGCACTTAAAAAGCAGGCTCCTTTTGTCCTAGCCCCTGCCTCATGTCCGTCATCCCCCAGCGCCACCATCTCTGTAACTCCAAGGCTGGCCCCTCCTCAAAGTCACACGTATCCACAGCTGTGAAGAGAGGCATCTATGACAAATTTGGAGAGGAGGGCCTGAAGGGCGGAATTCCTCTGGAGTTTGGAGCCCAGACACCATGGACAACTGGCTACGTCTTCCACGGCAACCCTGACAAGGTTTTCCATGAGTTCTTCGGGGGAGACAACCCTTTCAGTGGTAAGGAATCCTACTCAACTCTTGCCTTGCTGGGAAGGGACACAGTGTAAAAGATGCCTTTCTCTGAATAGTTTGTTTTGTTTTTTTACTTTAAGAAATATACACAATACATAGTAAAAAAAAAAAAGTAAAAAAATTATTGTAATAAATCCCATCCCTCCATTTCCTTCCCCAGAAGTAGCCCCTCACTGTTAACAGCCTACATATCTTTCCAGAAATTTTCTATGTCTGATGAACATATATTAGTTTTTATTTACACCCCCCCCCTTTTTTTTAAGAAAATGGGACTGCATCATTTATACTCACTGACTTCTTTGTATGTGTGTGTGGTACTGGGGACTGAACTCAGGACCTTGCACTTGCCAGGCGGGCATGCTGCACTGAGCTATAACCCTGGCCCCACACTGACTTTGTATACTTCATTTATCTTGAAGATTATACTATGATGTATTATGTTATCTACAGATCGACTTTAATCATTTTAGTAGCTGTATGAGATTTCACTGTGTTAAGATATGTATTAGTCAGAAATGAGCTACAGAAACATACCACTGTAAACTGGTAAAGCAAAGGAGGTTCAGCGCAGGGACTGAGGTGCTTGAAAACCACTGGGAGATCTGAGTGAGAGGAATTCCCTTGAGAACAGTACCTCTAAGCCCACAGGAGAGCACTGTGTTGGCCAGAGTCATGACAAGGGAATCAGGAAACCCTCTACTGTGTTCCAGAACACATCACTGTAGCCCTACCCCTGATTGAAGGAATTTGTCATCATTTCTGCCTTACTTGCCTCTGACTGATATGAAACTAGTGTGTGGCGGGGTGGACGCACACAGAACTGTTGCTTCAGAAAAGCCCAGTATCTTTCCAGCAGTGCTCACCACCTTCAGCAGAGAGAGGGGGAAGTGCCTGCCTTCCCTCTTCCTGCCTTCCAAGTGGCTCCCTGCTCACTTCATGAGTAGAATACAAACCCTGGCTGCAGAGGGGTCTGAGAATGTTCCTTTCAACTCTACTGACTCCTCAGCAGGGAAGATTCTCAGGAGAAGCACGTAAGAATGCCAAGGGCCAGTGTGTCCACCCAGGGGTGTTTAAAATTCATTATTTTAAATTATTGCCTTATTGATGTAGTACAAGGGACCCAAGAAAGCCTGCAGGGGCAGTGCCTGTCAGGGAGGGTCAGCCTCTGGGTTTGGGAGTTCCTTAGACAGGGTCTAGGGGCTGTATTGTTACAGAGCTCCCTTCTGGGGGTTCTTATTTCCTCTGTCCCTGTGGGGTCTGAGGGACTGGTTTCTACCACAGGTGGTAGGTGAGTGAATAAATCCAGTAATGAAGGGGGGACCAGGCAGAGCACAGGCCTCTTGATTATGACACTTTTCAGGGACACTAACAGGGTGGTGAAGCCACCTCACCCTCCTAAGGTCCCTTCAGCATTCCAGCCTGTGAAGTTCATTCCATGAGAGACAGAGTATAGTACATAATAGCAACCTCCGACTCTACAGTTTGTAGAGGGCTTCTGTCAGCATAGTGTAGTGGTTAAGCCATTGGTTCTGACGTCAGATCATTCTGTGGTATAGGTCTCATCTCCACTACTTACTAGCTATTAAACAGTGAATATTCTGGGCCAATGAAATAAAAATGAAGGGTTGGGGACATAGTTTAGCAGCTTAGTGGTAGAGCACTTGTCTCAGGTTCTGGGTCTGAGCCCTAGCACTGCTAAAAATAAATCAATAAAAATAAAAATGAAACTGTTGAACATAGCACCTGCTGTTTGGTAAGTTCTCATCAAGTTTAAGGTCTTTGTCATCTTAATGGTGGAAGACAGGGCAGGTGTTAACATCCCATTCCACAGACAGAGAAAATCAGTCCCAAATGACTGCACAATCCCTCAGGACCAGGGCTAGCATAGGGCTCTCTCTCTGCACTAGGATAGAAGGGCAAGGGCAGCAGGAGGGGTTATAGGCTGGGCAGGTGCAAATAAAGTTGAGGAAAGATAAGTTTGGCTCATATTTTCAGGGATCAGACCTTCCCCTCTCTCATCAGCTGATAACATCACTGACACCTGAATCTTGGATCTCAGTGGTCTTGGCAGGACTGGGCAGTGAGGGAGAGTGGAGTCCTGAACTGGGTAGGGAGGATTGGACTCAGGGCTGATCGCTCACTGTTGACTGCCAACTTTGAGTCTTTTCTGGCACTACAAGGTCCTGCCAGTAGGGTTATGATTAGGGTTAGGGTTGGTACCTCCCAAAGCTGTGGAAATGAGATTCAGGGGACCAGGAGTATCCAAAGAGGGGATAAAGCAGTAGGAACTATTTGCTCTTCTCTGGTCTGAGTTTAAGGACAGCTTCTTGGCTCAGCAGCCTGAGTCTGAAAGGTAGAAATGGCCACTAGGTATTATACTTGGGACACTGAAGAGATTGGAGGAAATATAGGGCTGGAATTGGGTGTGTATGAGAGAGATTGTATAATGTGTGTGAGTTTGAGTCTTTGGACACAATTTCTCTAGCTCATCTCTTTGCCCTCCTGTAGAATTTTTTGAAGCAGGAGGAAGTGAGGTGGATTTGAATTTTGGAGGACTCAGGGGTCGAGGGGTCAAGAAGCAGGACCCCCCAATTGAACGGGATCTCTATTTATCCCTGGAGGACTTATTCTTTGGCTGCACCAAAAAAATTAAGATCTCTCGACGGGTGAGTGCTTGGTATGCTCCTCTCATGAGCCATCATCTAACCCCTCCCCTCTCTCTGTACCTCTTCCCTTCTCTAACTGAAGAGCTTAAGATTGGTGTCTGGTACAATCATGGAACCTTAGACAGAGAGACCCAGGTTCTTAGAATTCTAGAGTCTGAAATTTGGAAGGAACAGTACCCGCCCCCTTTCCTCCCTGGTGCAGAATTCCCCTTGACAGCACCCTAACCGGTGTAAGACCCCTTCCCTCTCAGTTCGGCACCTGCAGTGGGAGCCTCCTGTGAATTCTGCCTTCTGGGCATTACCAGACTGTTCCCCAGGAGTCCATCAGGGTGAGAGAGAGCTGTGTGAGTGGCCCAGCCTTCTGCCAGGCCCCTCACCTTTGCCCAGCAGAAGAGATCCACAGATGGCACCCATATGGGCATGTGATTGGGGAATGAATGCACAACCTCCTGGGGAGTGACTGCATTGGGTGATGCCCACATCTGTTGACTTCCGTGTTCCTTCTCTTTGAGATTAAGAGATGGGTCAGGACCGCCGGGATTTGGAGAGAGGAACTGATTACCATTTTCACTGTGTATCTGTTAGTGGCCAGGGCTGGAGGCGTGGGTTTGATTAACTTGTGGTGACCACTTGGTGTCCCAGGCCCCAGCTCCAGCCCTAGGAGGAGCCCTGCCACCCTAGAAGCATGAGTCCTTAGTTCCAGGGGCAACAGAATGGGAGTGTGAATGGCTCAAGGCAGGTCTTCCTGCCTCCACCGCTGGAGGATTGAGCCCGGGTATAAATCAGAGTTAAGAACCGTGGATCCTACCACCCACATCTCCTCCACTTGGCCCCCTCTTTTGGTCCCCACTGGCCAGTTCTGTGCACTGGATGGGTCTGGGCAGGGCCCTATTGCCACCCTCCTCGTGTCCTTGGGCTCCTGTTCTCAGGGCTCCGACCCTGCCACTTCCTCACTGTCTGAACATCTCAGAATGGCATTCAAGGGCATCCTCCTGTGCACCCCAGCCCTATGACACCGAGCACCCTGCTGGGCGAGGCGTTTTTCCTAACTCTGTTCATAACTCACAGAGCATCATTCATGTTTGTGAGGAGGACTCAGGAAAATCTGAGCAGACCACACCTCCCCATGTCACTGCAGGTGCTAAACGAGGACGGGTACTCCTCTACCATCAAGGACAAGATCCTCACAATCGATGTGCGGCCTGGGTGGAGGCAGGGCACACGCATCACCTTTGAGAAGGAAGGAGACCAGGTAAGAGGGAAAGGAGCGGACCAGGGCCAGTCACCAGGCTCAAGGGGTGGGGAGACTGAGGGGAAGGAGATCATGCCTTGTCCTGTCCCTGGAAAGCCTGGTCTGGTGGGGAGACCAGTCCCCAGTCAGTGAGGTCAGCCCTCCTGTCCCTTCTAGGTACAGCCTCACAGCAGCTCTTGAGTGTTGTGAGTGGGCAGCTCAGGTTTATACCCATCCCTTCATTGGGAAACTGAGGCCCAGAGAGGGAAAAGACTTTCCTAGGGCAAAAGCACAGGAACTGGAAGAAAGGAGAAGCCAGCCTTACCTTCAGGGCTTTGCTTGATTTTCTTCAGTGCTTCTCAGAATGAGGCCCATTTATAGGAGCTGCTCAGAACCATTTACTACTACTAATTTTAAATTACTCATTTAAATAAAAATATAAAATTGTCATCCTAGGCACACTGACTCCTGAAGTCCTAAGGAGAAGCACAGAGATCCAGTGTTCAGATTTAAGAGGTTAATTCCTCTGCCCACACTTCTTGCTTCCTTTCTCACCTATTACACATCTACTCCTAAGACAACACCCTTCAGACCACCATACCTGGCCTGACAGCACACTGAGATCTCCTTGTCTCAAACAAGAAACAAACAAAAGAAAAAAAACACCATTCTAGGATTGCCATGAGTTAGAGGCCAGCAGGGCTACGTAGCAAGGCCTTGTCTCGGGACAGGGATTTAGCTCAGTGGTTCTGCCACCTGTCTTGCAAACGCAAGGACCCGAGTTTGATCCCTGGTTCCCCCCCGCAACACAAAAAAAGACCTTGCCTCCAAAAAACCAAAACAAACCACTCTTCTAGGCCCACCTCCAGTGATCCTCCCCTTGGGCCACCTTAGGTGACCCTTAGTGGATCAGCACCTCCTCTGACACCCCCCACCCCAGCCTTGCTTTGTTCTGGCCTTGAGCTTGCTGGGAACCCACTGTGTTCAGTTTATGCCACTGGACTGGCAGCTCCCTTGGGGAAGATTGGTCTGAGTCGACTGTGCCCATGAAGCTTGGTGAGAGTTGTCATTCCTGAGCTATTAACAGGACTGCGACCTTGGGCAGTTGTCTGACACCCAGCGCAGTGTTCCACTGCTACCTCGGCAGTCCCTCTCCCCTCCCATGGGTGCAGCTCACTTGGGAAGTTATTCTTGGGGATTCATCTGGGCAAGCTTCTCAGAGCAGGAGCACTGGGCTACACCGAAATGGCCCCCAGAAAACCTAGTCTAAGCTCCCCATGGTACAGATGAGGACCTACAGACAAGGAGAAGCAAGCGCTTGGCCACAGTCACGTGGGCAATTATCCTTGTCACCCCTCGGCCTCCCCCACCCAGGGTCCCAACATCATCCCAGCGGACATCATCTTCATTGTGAAGGAGAAGCTGCACCCTCTGTTCCGCAGGGAGAATGACAACCTTTTCTTTGTGAACCCCATCCCCTTGGGCAAGGTAAGGGCATGGTGGGGGAGCTGTGTGTGGGGAGCCAGACTCTGCCCTCCCTCCACAGCCTAAACCCTGGATCCCACTACCCACATCTCCTCCACTTGGCCCCGCCTCTTTTGGTCCCCACTGGCCAGTTCTGTGCACTGGATGGGTCTGGGCAGGGCCCTATTGCCACCCTCCTTGTGTCCTTGGGCTCCTGTTCTCAGGGCTCCGACCCTGCCACTTCCTCACT